CAGTGGATATCTTCAACGCTTAAGTAGGGGAACTAAGCTAATTATTATTATTTTTCATTTCACTCTGTTCTCTGTAGTCTTTTGGACCTGGCACCACGACTATCTGCAAGCTTTCATCTCTTCCTCACATGATCTCCTCTATGTCACCCTCGGACGACCAACTCGTCGTTTCCCCTTTGGATTCCACTTGAGGGTTTGGTGCTTGATGTCCCCAGTCGGCCTTCTCAGTGTGTGCCCAATCCATCTCCACTTTGTTCTGCATATTTGTTGGTTGGTTCGCTGCCAGCCGGAGTTCCTTGTTGCTTACTCTTTCTAGCCAAACAGAAGGATATTTCGGTGAAACTTTCAGCATCAAAACCCAGAAGATCATCAGTGATGATGGCTCGCTGGATATGTGCTCAGATAACCAGCCTTTCACAATCAATACGAATTTTAGACATAAAGAGGAACACTTTATTGCCAGTTGGTCATTGATCAGAACCCAACGCTGGATATAGATAAACCAAATATTGAATGCTGTCTTAGGGAGTTGGTCAAGGATTATCTCTTCTGGATATTGCGAATGTTCGTTTCTAAACAGACACTGAAAGATTACAAGTGAATGTCATTTTGGTTTTCAGCTTGATGATGAATATGTTAAGAGGACATTTTAGAAGGAAGTCTCTGGACAGTTAAAGAAGCTTAACAGTCTTACAAACAACAAATCGGGTACCATACCCACTTTCCTGCAAAGTTGATCACCAGAATTTGTTGTTACATGTCTACAACTTTTCTCAAATACATTAATGCATGAAAAAACATTTTATTAGCCTCGGAATACAAACAGGCAGCAGAAACAGCCAAAATGTGAACTAACCATGCGTGTACATATTAAATAGTAGACAGATGGTAAAGACAAGTGTGACGGGTAATCCGTTGACAGTTAGATGAAGCTTTTAGGAAGACTGGTGTGAGAATCGTTAGTCATTAGTGAGACCACGGATGGGATAGATGGGTGTGTGATCCTCCCACATAGAAGGTGACTGAAAAAGTGGACAGAAAACTGTGACAACACTTCAGGACTCTAGTATCTATTGTTCACTAGGCCATCGTTTAAGTGAATGTGTCCTCTTACCAAATGCCATATTCTTATTCACTGGTGATTTTCTCAGAGTCTGCAATGAGTTACCCCTGAGGTGTCTACTTTGAGTGGTTCCCGCCTCGGATATTCACCCTTTGAATTTGGTGGGTTTTTTTTAGATCTACTTGTTCTTTTCTGACCTTGCAGGAATCGTTCCTCTTTTTACAGATTTCTTCATCGAATTAAAGGGTAAAGACGCTATATTTCTGTAAGTTGCAGATGCTGACAACACTGAAGTTCTTTGAATACCAAGTAACAGTTTGAATATGCATGGAATGTATTTCTCACCTCCTAGATTCCAATTCTTATATGAATATTCAGTCTAACAGTTATCAGCGAATCGTCTGTGTGCGTTGGCGAAAAAGCTAAAAGTCGGTCACAACTGCTCACATTTATTCAATCTTTCGCATTTGATAAAGGTTAAACATTTTTACTAACCTTCTTTGTCTATAAATTCTCTGTCCTTAAATATACTTTGTTCACTTCAATGTCGCTTTTCTACCTAATTGTTCTTTACATTGGTGCTGTGAAGTATGATAATTTGGATGAATTCACTTTCGAGCCAGGTTCTGCCTTAATTTATCTGTCTTTATGTTTGTTTCATTGTAGGCTTTAGATATGATGAAATGAACGTAGAGAAACTTAAGCAGATCACACAATTTTCTTAGATTTTGCCAAAAAAAACTCCATGAATTCAGTTCTTTAGAGTTTAACCAAGATATTACTCGTATTTGCATCCAAGAGGCGTTAATGTTAGCGTAGGAGTTGAACATTATCATGGCGTATTATTCCGTGTTAATTTATCTACTGGGTATGTCACACTTTGAAATAGTATTATTTGCTGGATGACGCTTCGAACACAACTTATTCTTCTTAGTCATACTATAGGTGATTTGACTATTGTATTAAAAACACTATCCACTAAACAATACCGTTTCACTGCATGAAATATCCAACAAACCAATAAACATGGTACTATACAAGAAATCTGCTTGTAGAAGTGAAAATGTCCTCTAGGAGATGTAAGATTAAAACTGCCGGTATAATCATGGTCGATAAACTCATTATGAAGGCCAACTTCTGACCTGTAGTAGAAATGTCTTTTGTCTTTGCGCGCACTCTTCTTCACTTCTTTGTTCAGTGTTTTATAGGTTGCATATAGTTCGTCTTTTCGTTGTGCATCCTTCTTCACCATCTTCCTCTCGTCTATCAACTTCCATGTATCCGTCGAGATCCATTCCTTGTCTCGCTTCTTCTTCCTTCTTAATACGGTTATTCAGATTTTCCGCTCATCGCTTTCAAAGAGTTCCAGTGTTCTTCCACGCAGGTTTCCTCGGGGATGTTTCCTAATATCTCCCATTTTTCCTGATAGCTGACGTGAACATGTTCTTTGAAGTTTCACGTTTCAGTTTCTGTTCTCGGTTTTGAACTTGAACTGTGGTCTGTCATCACCAGCTACTTTGAAGGCTTTCAACTTGATTTTGAAGGTAGGTTCCCTGCACTAGACACTGAGTGGTGTGAACCTACATCTGCTTCTCTTCATCTGATCTTGTGTCCAGTGGTCTGTGTCGCAACTTTCTTCACATTGAGATGAAGTTGATCTGATTTTGAGTGTAGTGTGTCCATTTGGTGAAGTCGAATCCATGTCGCTTTGTGAATATCCTTGTGTTTGTACACACTACCTCCAATCACCAAATCGTTGAATGTGCAAAAGTCTGAAAACAGTTCTCCATTCCCGTTCATCATCTCACCGAGTGCTTCTCGAGCCATGATTGGTTCTCTTCTTGTGTTGTCCGCCCCCAGTTTGGCATTAATGTCATCCCACCCATTAGGATTTTGATATCGTCATCTGGGGTGGGGTCTTGTCCAGTACTGATTGCAGATTTCCGTAAAATTATTCCTTCTTCTCTTTGTCTGCATTATTTGTAGGTGCGTAGCGTAGCATTGTATGATTGTAACTTTCCTTCCTTTTCAGTTGAATCTTGGTATCATGATCCTGGAGGAGATTGGTTCTCATTGCCTGAAAGCCTTTGATGCTGTTGAGGACATCATGATAGCCACTCCATAACTCAGTGTGTTTGTGGTTGTCGTTTGGGTGGCAATATGAGAGTAGATTATTGACTCTCCAGTTGACAGTTTGGAGAGTTGACTTCCATTGCATCTACTTTCTCAGATTCCACGCACTTCTATGCCATACCTTCTCATCTGTTTGGCAATGTGGGTAGCCTTGGCAGGCAGCCAGCCAGCTTCAAACTTTGTGCGGACATTCCATCTCCCCGTCTTTACTTTTGCTTTCATCGGCGGAGGAAAAGACACATCAGCTAATTGGCTTCCAGAAGGCTTTCACCAACTGGCGTAATTTCGCCTCTCCGATTCCACAGAGGAATAAGTTTGATTTTATATTTTATATTTTCTTTGTGCTTTGAAGTTTCTTTAGCGGTATAATTGGTTTTCTGGGTTAGGGTTGCTAGCCATATGCCCAACCTTCGCTCTTTACCTGGGCTCGGGACCGGCTAGTAACTAGTGAAGTAGTTAACTAGGTGAGGTTTTCAACACAATAAGAACTTTCATATTTCCCGCCATTTCTCACTGATTTCTGTTTATCAGTTTTCTGCAATAGTCTGAATCTTACTCTTCTTCTTTACGTTCATGTTTACACTTGTGTCATTGATCATTTTACTACTTTGATTTAGTGGTATTTGTTGCGTTAAGTAATGCTTTCGGGTATTTGACACCCATGTATTTGGATATTAATGAGACATAGGTTCGAAATCCCCACTTACAGAGGTGTCGTCAGTCAGCTATACTGTGGAAAGTGTATCTCACAGTCTTAGCTTTTGAGTTGCATTTTACATTTATTGATAGTTTTCCTCTCCATCTTGCAGTGATAACCAAAGAATTTATGGCTGGCCCTTATTCCTTCAGTGATGAAATCCGTTTTGTTTCTATTGTGTATTGCTGGGTATCAGACTATGTAGCAGACAAATGATAGATGATGCCTGAAGTCAAAGATGGTCGTTTTGTGAAGCGATTTACCCACCTAATCAGTTTTTTTACCATAAACTTATGAAGCCTGTGTGCTAAATGCTGTTGTATCGGTCCAGTGTTGCTACAATCTATATCATGTGTATTCACTTGAGTGCGTATTTTCATATTAAAAGTTAAGGATGTGGAAGGTGGACAGTGATATGAGGGAACTTGAGCGTTGACAGGGTTGTGAAGGCGGTCGACACTTTCTGGTTGTCCACAATGTGAAAGACTATTTACCTGAAAAAGAAGGGTTTGTGCGTGATCGCAGAACTCAAGGGATATCTGTTCGAGGTTGAACACACATAGCCTTTCCAGAAGTTCAGGACTCAAGGTTGCTAGTTTTGAATCTCACTATGAACCAAGGGTACCGGTATCAGTACGCCACGGGGAGGAAGGGATTATCAGGGTGGCACTGCTAGTCACCTTCAATCCAGTCAGCAGTATGATTTGGCACTCAAACCATAATCATAGCGTAGAAATTTATACTATGAAGGTAACTGTTTATGTTTAATTAATATCCAGTAGATCTTTCTGGAATGGTAAGAATTCGATGGATTAATCGATCTATCAGCATCGCTTGTTGGATCATTATGACATGGAAGCCTGACTAACATGTCAAGATAGCAGCTATCGGTCACATAGCTTTGTGGGTGTATGCTATTGAAAAGTCTCAAATCTTAACAAAACAGCTATCTGTAACTTTCTGGTGTACAGTACTTTTTTCATTCATGATATCAATCCGTTAGAAATAATACCTTCAAATAGTTTTTGCATCATTTGTATTGCATCAGTTCTGTCTATATTTTCAATGGATTTACAGTCGATAATGATGGTTTTACATTCATTTCAGCCCCAAATCACAAATGAGAGTAAAGTACTCTACACTTAGCAATTCACAATTATGTAATTATCAACCTATGGTATTACAGAATCCCGCCAAATCGAGTTATTCTTATATCAGTGCTGTGCGTAATCATAATGGTCATACACGCTTATGGTGAATTGTATTGTAAGTTAATATTTGTGTTTTATTTTATCTGGATCTGCCTTATAATCCTTGAGAAACTTCTGATGCACTAGCGAAATATGTATTATCATGAACCTTTTAGGAACTGAGAGTAGAACCAAGTGATAAGTTAGAAACTGTACCAAACGCGTGTGCCAACACCCATCACATGCCATTAATCAGTACTGAAATATTAAAAAATGCTTCGAAGCTACTTACGAGTAGTTTGTAAGTAGAAATGTAAGTTTGACATTAATGGACTGTTTTTTCAAGTTACCATCGTATGATACGCAATAACATATCAATGCAGTGAATATAATCACTATGATAAAACTCTCAACATATAATTCCAGAATTTAATGAATTAATTTCCTAACACATGGAGTTTAAGCGATAGCACTGTAAAGGATCGCTATTATTATTATTATTTGTCCTTTCGGTTCCTAGTGGAACATAAGCCTTCACTAGCACATCACCGTTTCACTCTGTTCTCTGCAGTCTTTTCAATCTGGTTCCACCACTGCCTAAAATCTTTCATTTCTTCCTCACATGATTTCCTCTATGTTACCCTCGGATGCTAAACTCGTTGTTTCCCCACTCGGTTCTACTCGAGGGCCTGACGCGTGATGTCCCCAAATGGTCTTCTCAGTGTTAGCCCAGTCCATCTCCACTTTCTCCTGCATATTTGTTAGGCAGTAGGTTCTTGGTTAATTCGTTACCAGCCAGATTTCCTTGTTACTTATTCTTTCTCGCCTTCTAGTCTGATGTTCAGTATGGAGTGAGCGTAGGCGGCAGCTGTTAATGAATGTCTGCAGTTTGTTGGAAATGCTTTTCTTAACGCGCCAATTTTCTGAACCATATAATAGGAGTACTGACTTGACGTTGGTGTCATAAATCTGGATCTTTCTGTTTATACTGAGTGGAGTGCAGAAGATCTCCATACTGATTTCAGATTAATGATTATCTGCCTTGCCGTCTTTCCGATGCTGAGTTCGATATCCTGATCTGTGCCTGTGCCGGCTGTAGCTGAAACGGTGCTGCCTAGTTTGGTAGGTAAAAGAGACTACTTCCTTTAGATTTCTGTCTTTGATGGTGATTGGTGCTTGTTGTTGTTGTTGGTTGGGTATCTTGATCATCTCTGTCTTCTCTACGTCGACTTGAAGTCCCGTTTTCGCTGCCCTCCTCTGTCAACTTGTTTGCTTTTGTCTGTACATCTTCGAGTTTGTGTGACAAGACGTTGGATATAAATCATGATCGGCGAAATCCAAATCTTCTAGCCTCTTTTCATCGGTCCAGCCAGCGTATGCCCATCTTGTTGCTCGTCACAGTTTGTTGCATGATGTAGTGCAGTCGATCACAGTGAGTAAGATCATCGGTGATAATAGGTAGCTTTGTCTTACTCGTGTCTTCACTTCAAATGTACCATTGAGCTTTGCATTGTGAATCACTCGGCATATGGCGTCGTCATGTAGCTGTTGAATGATGTTAATAAGGGTTTGTATCACTGAAACTGTAGTGTTGAAGCAGTTTTCAAATTAGTTCTTGTTCGACGCTGTCGAAAGCCTTTTCAAAGTGGATGAAGTTGAGGTAGAGAGTTGACTGCCATTCTATGCACTGTTGTGTGGTGATGCTCAGGATTGAAATTTGGTTCGCACATGACTTGTTTTACCTGAATCCAGCCAGCCTGTTTCGGTCGTGATTTTGAATCCAGCGCATTTTTCATTGTCTTCAGGATGATGTTGCTTAATATTTTGCTTTGGAACGACAGGGATGGAGTATGATTTCTTGCCAGTCCTTGCAAAGACTTCGGTCTCCCTTCTTTGTAAGTTAGCCCTTCTTTCAATTGAATTGTACCTTTCCTTCGTTCGAGACCTTCTGCAGTAGTGGTGTGGTGTGAGCATGTCCGCTGTTGTCTCTGCATCTATTTTCAGTTCTTCTAGTGGAGTTCTATGTGGTCATGCTGCTTTGTTAGATTTCAGCAACTTTATGGCATTCAAGACTTCTGCTTTTTTCGGAAAGCTTGTGTTCAGTAGTAGTTCTGTGGTTTTGTTAAAGCATGATTTATGTATTTTAACTTCACATGAAAGATGTTATTAATCAACCAAGTGCAACAAATCATCGTTTGATAACTTCACTGTAATGCTAGATCCGTCAATTGGAATAGTCAAGGAGACAAGTGGAGCTGAATTACAAACAACCATTACTGAATGGGGAGGAGGAGACAATGAATTTTGTTGTATTGCAAAATATCAACTGTAGGATTTTGGGACAGAAAATGTTTTTATTTTCACACACTATAAACGAGTTTTGAAGTCAGGAAATTCAAAAAAAATATAAACATGCAGAAGGAATAGAAAATATGAAAGAGAAATTGAAGAGATTTTGAAAATGATTCAACACGGTTGAGATATAACTTCAGTAACTTCTTGGTTCGACTCCATACTTTAATCTGAACGATATCATTTTTCTTTCAAATTATTCTTAGCAAGGCTAATATAACACGTCAGCAGTGATGATGCTACAAAATATGGGAAACTTATTCCAACCATCTGTATCACTGAACAATGAGAGTTTGACACTTTAAAGGAAGCATTGATCTCCTTAAAGTTGGAGATATACTGTACAGTTGAAACATACAATTTAATCCAACATTTTTAAACACTGAAGATAGGTTATAATCTATGAAGTTTAAAGCCTTCAGTGATACAGATGGTTGGAATAAGTTTCCCATATTTTGTAGCAGCATCATAAGAATTATGACTTATGACTGACTAACTGCTATTTACAAATATTCATTTTTGAGATGAATGGCGATTTTAATTTAGAAGTAGTATTCATGACAAACTGATATCAGTTGGTGGACTATTAAGAATCTGGTAGCACTGGATAGCTGTTTCGACCTAGTATGGGACTCCTCAACAGTATGTAACCACGACTCGGCTAAGGATCTAACTCAGGAATTTCAGGTTTCACAGCGAATACGTTAACTATTCAGCCACTGAGTTGGTTTTCAGTGGTTCACAGTTTCCAACTTCTCTCAATTCATGATATAGCGAGACTATCACCCAAGGTCGTCAGTAAGTATCCACTTCATTTTAAAATTCCCATTTATCTCAAAAATACATTACTGTATAGTGCTCATAAGTGACTTGCTTCCAGATAGATATGATGAAGCTCTAATGAGAAGTCATGAGCTGTGGGGTCAACCAGTCGGAAGTGAAGTAGGTGCTAACTGAAGACCTTGAATGATGGTATCGGTATATCATGAATTGACAGAAGTTGGAAACTGTGAACCACTGAAAACTGACTCAGTGGCTGAATAGTTAACGTATTCCTTGTGAAACCTATCCATTATTATTTTATATAATTAACTTCTTGGTTCGACTCCATACTTTAATCTGAACGATATCATCTTTCTTTCAAATTATTCTTAGCAAGGCTAATATAGCACATCAACAGTGATGATGCTACAAAATATGGGAAACTTATTCCAACTTCATAGATTATAACCTATCTTCAGTGTTTAAAAATGTTGGATTAAATTGTATGTTTCAACTGTACAGTATATCTCCAACTTTAAGGAGATCAATGCTTCCTTTAAAGTGTCAAACTCTCATTGTTCAGTACTCTAGTTAGCATTATCGTTTCATTTCGTATACAAGTTTTTCTTATTTTATTTGAATCAAATACATTCGCTTCTTCTTTTCTTAGTAAGTTTACTATCTGTTTCTAGCTAAAAGATGATTACAGTTTGTTTGTTTTTTTCTGAAATTTTGTTTATCATCCCCGCATAAATAAATAAATAATCTGTCAATTAATATCATTCTATGTATCATATGATATAATCTAAATTTTCATGTATAATGTTTCATTTTTTTTTGCATTTATAGAGTTAAAACAGAATTAAATTATTGAAAATTGAATTACTGAGTGTGGAAAGTAATCACTTGAAAAAATTCTGTCATTTACGAAACCATAATGAATTCTAGAAATCTCTGAAGAAAACTAACATTCACACGATTATGTAATATGGAGGAAATGCAATACCTTTTTATCCTACATTAAATAACATATTTAATAAACATATGAATATTTAGAACTGATATTAGTTGGTGAACTATTAAGAATCTGGTAGCACTGGATAGCTATTTCGACCTAGTATGGGACTCCTCAGCAGTATGTAACCACGACTCGGCTAAGGATCTAACTCAGGACTTTCAGGTTTCACAGGGAATACGTTAATTATTCAGCCACTGAGTTGGTTTTCAGTGGTTCACAGTTTCCAACTTCTGTCAATTCATGCTATACCGATACCATCATTCAAGGTCTTCAGTTAGCATCTACTTCACTTCCGACTGGTTGACCCCACAGCTCATGACTTCTCATTAGAGCTTCATCATATCTATCTGGAAGCAAGTCACTTATGAGCAGCACTATATAGTAATGTATTTTTGAGATAAATGGGAATTTTAAAATGAAGTGGATACTAACTGACGACCTTGGGTGATAGTCTCGCTATATCATGAATTGAGAGAAGTTGGAAACTGTGAACCACTGAAAACCAACTCAGTGGCTGAATAGTTAACGTATTCGCTGTGAAACCTGAAATTCCTGAGTTAGATCCTTAGCCGAGTCGTGGTTACATACTGTTGAGGAGTCCCATACTAGGTCGAAACAGCTATCCAGTGTTACCAGACTCTTAATAGTTCACCAATTGATATCAGTTTGTCATGAATACTACTTCTAAATTGAAATCGCCATTTATCTCAAAAATGAATATTTGTAAATATTAGTTAATCGTAAGTCATAATTCATGTTATTGTCTGTGTATATACATATAATTATATGACGCAACTGATTGCAAAACAATACTTTATATGATTACTCCTTTTACAAAGAGGAGTCATTATTCTGATGGTGTTTATAATTCATTCATGTAATACCATTTACTTTCCTCAATTCTTTTTCTTTTCTCTTATTCTTTACACATTTTATTCTCATTTGTAATACTGTAATGGTAAATTAATTAACTATTACCATTATTACCCTTTATTATGAATTTATTATCAATATTACTTATGTAGAGTAGTAGTACTTTAAAACTTTTGTATCCGAAGAAGAAAAGAAAAACTAATTAGCTGCAAATTGATAAACTACCTAGTGAATAAATTTCTGTTTAATTATTTATAAATATTCTTGAATGTATTTCAATTGAATGATTTCAATAAATTACAATATTGTCTCATTTCTATTCAATGCTTTCTATGTTAAGCCATTGAATGTTATTAGGTTACTGCTACTTATCACTAATTTATAGTAGTTCAAGTAGGTAATAGAGACAAAAACGAGAACAAATAAAATAATGTACAACCTGATGATTGAAGTTTTTTTACGCTTTGGATTTCTTTTAAGTTGTGATCATGTATTCTGAGATTTGATAGGCTATGTCAGTCAAATTAATTTCTCTTTTATTATCACTGTGCTTTCTTGTAAACTGAAACGATTAAAAAATTAGTTTTCATGCTCTGTATACTATCTGCTATTGGTCATACTGGTAATTCATAACTTCCCGAAGTTGACTATTTGTTCTGGTTTATTTATTTTATTTCACTCTGATGACCTGGCTTTAAGTTTCTCCTAGCTCATGGAGGTAGGAAAAGTAATGGCTGACCAGTTACTGACCAACTGACAAAACCAATGTAGAACCTCGCACACAAGTACTGTAGTTCAACTTTTGGCAATTCATAATAATACACAAAGAGTAAGTGGATAGAAAATGAGTGATATCAAGGTAGACGAAGTTGTTCAAGAGAATAAACAATTTGAAGATAAAGCTTATGAAGACATTAAAGAGTGAATACATCGACAGCATTGTGACCGATTTTCAACTATATCACCATGAGTCCTTGACCACTGACTCCTTCCGTTTTGAGGACCCTAACCAGTTAGTCTACTTCTCACATGACAGACCAACAGTAACAGACTTCATTGACTCGTGCTACATCTTGGTCTGACCACCCTGAACCTTCTTCCAACCTAATTAAGCTTTTCCTAGCATGATACATAGAAGTAGACGGTGGCTGAATATGCACAATACATGTGCAAGCTATCTCACTCGACTAAGGTTCACAACCTCACCAATAGACTTGCGTATCTTGCCTAGTACCTTTCGCAGATTAGTTGCACTTTTCTTCAAACTACTCTGAGTTATGTTTTAGTTGTGTTGTATTCACTTCTTGATAAACAGTTAGTTATTTTGCTTCAAGATGAAGGTCAGATGGAATCGCAAAAGTTTGTTTAAAGAACTCTTGCCTAGTAGCCTGAAGTTCGCTTGCGACTGACATGACTTCAACACATGTTCTGTATGTTTAGCCATCTCCTTCCCCACCATGCAGTGCTGAATGAAGTTGGATTAGAGTGTAAGATGACTCATAGTGACCAAACTAAGATATGGTACCTGTCCATGCAGTCCCTGATTCTCAATTGTAGACATGTAAGGAGGTGTGATCCTTGGGATGATAAAAATCAATGGCTAGAGATCCTTGGTAACATGTCTGTAAAAACATTTTTTAATTCCTTTCTCCTCTCGTACACCTTTGAAATCTTTCTCTTTCTATTTACTTGTTTTTTGCATGCTGGTGTTAACTATGGTAATTTTCTTCTATCGAGGTTTAACGTTTATTATATCTGTCTTACTTGAATTCAGCTACGATTAACTTTTTCCAATAAGGTAGTTTGATAATTATCATAGGAATCCATAAATTGAGAAACATGAGTTAGTTACCTAATCCTTAGACTGATACACAAAGAGATAGTTTATTTAACACCTGCTGTGTATAATCTGAAGTCATTTCTATGCATTCAGTAGGTAGTGAAACAAAGTTTTGGCAAATTCGGTGAATAGAATTGTTTCTTTGACAAGTAAACGAAAGTATCCAAACCGACTTCCTCAAATCGATCAGTTGATAAACTTTCAAATCACAGTGGTCATAATTGTTTATTAATAAGTGTTGTTGTTCTGGATTTAACCGATCGATATTTGCTGAAATAAAGGCTCTCGTGAAGATACTTCGATATTGCCCAATTACTCACCACGTAATAATTTGCTTGATGGTGTTTAATAGCGGAATCCGACACTTGCGCTTTGTCCTACCTGGACCTTGTTAACGGGATGTACCTGCACCCTAATGATTGGTGTTGTTCCTACTTAGATTCCAGACTACCTCTCATCTGTTCAAACACCAAAGGGTTATCCAGTAGACCACTGAGACATGAGGTCACCTCTTGGCAAATACCAAACGGGCTACTGCTGACTGGGGTGCTGGTGGATCCAGCTGATGAATCCCGACTAAGACGAAGTGCACGTATCGGATCTCGCTGCTAAACACTGTCAGGCAAATTATAAGGTAATAGATCTCCAGGCAATATCGAGGTATGTCGACAGTAGCTAGTATCTTGACAGTATTTCAGTATAGCAATCCACAGGATATTATAAATATTCATAAATAATTGTAGTCGCTAAATGGTTACCAACAGAAGTTGGGACATACTTTTCATTCTATTTGAAATCAGTTAGTTAGATGAATGTTGGGCATGTAGTGGAGTATCTGCCAATGCACAGTTCAATCAACTTCATGTTACTAATTTAAGTTGATCTTACTAGCTTGGGGAGATGAATAACAATCAGTGAGTCACAGGTTCGGGTCCTGTTCTACTTACCGAGGTTAAGGCGGCCAGGTAGTATCACCAGCCCTCACACAATAGGTTTGGCTTATAGTTGACTGCTGGAATATGCACAAGGTTGCTCAGTTCGTTTCGTTTAGTTCGTCAGATGGTGTGAGTAAAACAGCAGGAAGCCCAGGGTCTATACTTGTTGAGATGTGCCTACAACTATGAAGAAACTGATTTTCCTTCAGTTTCTGGAACCTTTCACTCAGTAGTGAAATCGGAGACTGGATTATTGGGCTATTTAAGCAACGGTTGCATATACGTCCTTTTGAATGCCACTAATGACAAAACCTGGGTCAAACAAGAATCCCTTCAAACAGACTCACAGCATTTGACATCGAAATTCAGTGCAATGTAGTGTCACATCGCTTATCTTAGTGACTATATCACAAAAGCTGGCCGAAAGATATCGTTCAGAGCAGAGCACTAGGGAATAAACAGCCACAACATTTGCCTACTAATAACCAAATCTTGCACATAATCTAGTCAGCTGTAACCTGAGTGGGTTAGTTGTTAATTGTCCGACTTCTACGCTGAGCGACTTACGATTCGAATCACCTAAGAAACGCCAATCTCTTTACGGTTGTAAGCACACCTTTGTGATGAGTTCCGACAAGCGCCGAACTGAATTCGAGGGTGGCTTCTTGTTGATTACCTTCAAAGGTCTAATACTGTAAGACCAGCACGAAACAATTTTGAAGTGACTCATTTAACTTGTATGATGTTGGTTCTTTCTTTCAATTAAAAAAAGAACTTGAGACGAGGAGAACTATTCAACTTGAATGTTTACTTTAAAGCCTTTAAGAATTCACAGTTTTAGTTCCAGTTTATATCACTTCAAATCACAGTATGTTGTTAGGGGATTGCAAAACTCGTATCAATAAGGAGTCCCATACTAGGACGAAGCAGCTGTCCAGTGCTTATTAGTAATGTGTTTCCAGATGGATATCACAAAGTCCTAATGAGAAGCCATAACCTGTAGGGTCAACCAGACAGAAGTGAAGCAGATGTTAACTGAAGACCTTGGGCGATAGTCACACTATATCACGACTTGAGAGAAATAGAAAATTGTGGATCACTAAACTGCGGCCCAGTGGTTGAACGGTTATTGCGTTCGCAGTGGTACCTAAAATCCTGAGTTCGATCCCCTTCCAGGTTATGGGCGTGTACTGCCTAGGAGTCTCATACTAGGATGAAACAGCTGTGCTTCCAATTTTCCTATGGTTAACTAAATGATGTCAGTCCGTTATAAATACTATCCCAAAACATGATTTTAGTAGCGTGATATGAGTTACCTGCATTCATTAATAGCTAACCTGAAGAACAATTGTTTATAGTTACAGTCAAATTCCACAACTTCCACTAACAAACTAGAACTCTGAAGTGAATGAAATCATGAGTTCACTGACGTTCTAGTATCAGTAGATAGTTTGTAGGTTGAGTGATGTTATTACTATCACTTAGGAGTTGTTCGTAATTTTCTACCACTGGTGAGGATTCATCACACTACTTACATTCCAACTTACTCAGGATATATTTAACGTATGGTTGCCTCATACTGATCAGCAAATATTTGAGTGGCTTATCTACATTTCTTTCTAATAAAACATTTATTCAACTAAAATTTTCCAGGAACCATATGATCCGTATTTACAGCTTACAATATTGATGTATATGAAACTTGGTGTTCATTGTTGTTGTTTAATAGGAGAACATTTAATAAGACAAAATAGAACGTATATTTACTGCAGTTAATTGTATTATGACCTCAGAATTCTTAGGAAATATGTTTTTATATGTGTTACAGAATACTATTTTTAAGGTTGTCTTTAACATTACTAACAGTGGTTAGTTTAGTTAATCAGTTGTATACATAACTATATGGAATTATAACTGGGAAGTTTGCAGTGTATTTAATATTTTTAGGAACTTATCAGTATAGTTGTTCATGATGACCGTAAATGTGATATATTTCATGGGTTACTGTGAGCATCACTTGATATTGGTGTACTCAACAACAATGAGATGCGATACTACATGACTTTTTTAAGAACAAGGTCGTATAGAGATACTCAAACAGAAACTTTTTCGTAACATTGATCATAGAATGTTGATCCTACAAGCTGACAAGATAATTAAGTTTTTGCCCTTAAGAGTATAATTCAGTCTGAAAGTCAACAGACATCAGAAACACTTATGACACGATATTCAGTTATTCTGTTACTTGCAGGCATAGTTTAGACTTCTGAACTGTAGTTGAAATAATATACAGTTGCACAGTGAAAACAATTTGAAAATAAGATTAACACCACATGTCCTCTTAAAATCTTACTTTTGACTGTTAGTGAAAGAGAATTCAATGAACCTTAGCTTAAATGTTAAGACCTATTGATGATTTTGTTCTCTTCAAAAAGCAAATTTCACAAATC